CTCTGATCTCACCTTAGGCACAATGACAACAAGAGCTTCCTGGTGTGGGTGAACGAGGAGGACCACCTCCGCGTCATCTCCATGGAGAAGGGAGGCAACATGAAGGAAGTTTTCCGCCGCTTCTGCGTGGGGCTGCAGAAGGTGGGCGCCACCTGCCCCTCGATGCCCCACCCACTCGAGAGGCCACACCCACACATGCAAATACAAGACACGCCCAGTTTCTACGCCACACCCTTCCACATGGAAAGACAGACTTCAAATTCCAAAAGGCCAAGCCATCTGTTCATACACAAAGACACCCAAAGCACCCAAAGCCCTTTCAAGGTCTCTCACACACACACCACGCCCACTTCCAAAGACCACGCCCCTCACATGCAGACACACCCTTTCTACCTCTGAGGCCACGCCCATTCACAAAGACATCGCCTCGCCCACTCCCAAAGCCCCGCCCACTGCTCGGCTTAAGCCTAGCCCTTCAGTCCTGGCCACACCCACGTTCCAAAGCCCCGCCCCTAGAGCCAGCCTCTGTCCACGGGGCGTGGCCAGACTCGGGGCGTGGCCAGACTCGGGGCGTGGCCAGACGCCTCCTCCTGGGTTTCCCAACCTGCGCTCCCGCCCAGCCCCACCTCGCCTGTTGGCTTTGATTGGGGGTGCACTTGGGGGAGCCCGCAGGTGCCGACCTCTGCTTTTCTCCCCCTCCTCCTCAGATTGAGGAGATCTTTAAGAAAGCCGGCCACCCCTTTATGTGGAATGAGCACCTGGGCTACGTGCTCACCTGCCCCTCCAACCTGGGCACCGGGCTGCGCGGGGGCGTGCACGTGAAGCTGGCGCACCTGAGCAAGCACCCCAAGTTCGAGGAGATCCTCACCCGTCTACGCCTGCAGAAACGGGGCACAGGTGCGCTCCCGCACGCCCCGCCCCGCCCCCTCACACCTGGGCACCCTCGGGGGGAGGGGACGTGGGGCACCCCGCGGGTCCCCGAGCCGGTGAGGGTGGGCCTTGGGCTCCTCCTGTGTAAAGTGGGCATCTACACGTGTGCTCAGGAGCTACTATAGTCACAGTTGTACGACACGCATGCCTGCAGGCCCCTGGGCCTCAGTTTCCCTTTCTGGAAATGTGGTGTTGGATGGTTTCCGGACAAGGTACCTACCGTTCCTGAAGCCGAATCCGAAGCTCGGCCACAGGGTCGCCCCGGCCCCCCTCTCCCTCCTCACTGCCCTTCCCCGCTGCTCCACACAGGTGGTGTGGACACGGCCGCGGTGGGTGCGGTATTCGACATATCCAACGCCGATCGGCTGGGCTCGTCCGAGGTGGAACAGGTGCAGCTGGTGGTGGATGGTGTGAAGCTCATGGTGGAGATGGAGAAGAAGCTGGAGAAAGGCCAGGCCATCGACGACATGATCCCGGCCCAGAAGTAGGCGCCCGCCTAGTTCCAACTCCAGGGAGGATGAGGCCCCCCGGAGGCCCCGCCCCCGGAGGCCCCGCCCCCGCCGGAGCCCCGCCCCCAAGCCCCACCATCCGGGCACCAAGAGTTCTAGTCCACCCAGAGTTCCAACCTATGGGCTCCGTCCGCTGAGGTTCTGGCCAATCAAAAACCTACTTTGGGTTCCCAGGGCCTGCCCTCCACCAGAAGCTCAGAAATAAAAGCGATGGTGGCCTTAGTCGCGTTGCATTATTGGGGCGGGGAGGAGTTCTGCAAATGGCCTCTGTGCTCTACCTGTAATTTGCCCTTCTGAGCATACATTAACCATGTCTTATCCCATTTCTATAAAGACTTGAAAGTAGGGTACAGGATTTGATCCAAAAATTAGATTTGTATGTGGAATCTGAGACACCCCAAAGGGGCCTGGTCTGCACAATGAACCAGGCAGGCCTCAAGCTCATGACCTTCCTGCCTCATCCTCCCCAGTGCTAGGATTAAGCAATCACGAGTTCCAGCTTCCTGTACTCTGCTCAAGAAACTGCCGTGACTCCAGTCTCTCCTAGAATGCACTGTTTCGTTTTAAGATCCTGCAAGTCCACGCAGGTCTGACATGCATGCTGTCCACACCAGCTCATCTTTCCAGTTCTCTCCCCATTCCAGCTGCTGACCTGTGTATATACTGCCACTCCCACCAGCCACCCCGGGGCTTGCAAGCTGGGTCCTTGGAAAGAGCCCAAAGGGGACCAGTGGCCCAATAGAGGAGAGAATAATAGCTAACAGAAGTCATGGAGTACTCAAGTGGTGATTGGTTGTTGAGCATGTCAATAACTTCCAACCAGCCAAAGAGGCCAAGACCTCCTTCAGTGAGGGCAGTAGATGGGCCCTAAAAGGGACATAGGAAATGGGTGGCAGGGTGAATGGAAGACCTGGTGAAGGCTTTTTTTTTTTGGTCAGTTGTGGTGCTTGAACTCTGAGCCTGGGCGCTGTCCCTCAGCTCTTCAGCTCAAGGCTCCTGCTCTACCACTTGAGCACCACTTCTGGTTTTCAGAATGGTTTATTGGAGATAGGAGTCTCACAGACTTTCCTGCCCAGGTTGGCTTTGAACTGCGACCCTCAGATCTCAGCCTCCTGAGTAGCTAGGATGACAGGTGTGAGTCACTGGTGCCCGGCTTCATCCCCTCCCCCCCAAAGAGCCCTTAAATTATAACCCAGTTGGTGCTGGGAATGTGGCTCAGTGGTAGAGTGTTTGCCTTGCATGCATGAAGCCCTGGGATCTATTCCTCAGCAGCACAGAAGCAGAAAAAGCCAGAAGTGGCGCTGTGGTTTAAGTGGTAGAGTGCTCGCCTGGAGCTGAAGAGCTGAGAGGCAGCGCCCAGACCCAGTGTTCAAGCCCCACAACCGACCCAAAAAAAAAAAAATTATAACTAGGTGATCCAGCAGTCTGTATGCTGAAGCAGAAAAATAGGAGTTCCAGGCTAGCCTGAGCTACATGGGGACTTTATTTCCAAAGGAGAGAAAAATGTCCTTAAGAGATCAACAAATCCACCTCCTGCTTTAGAGGGTAAACTGAGGCCCAAGGCTGCCTCTTCCCCCTGCCTTTCCCAAGAGTCCCAAGGATTACTGAGATAGGAAGAACAGAAAACACCCAAAGATGAAGGCACATCAGATGTGGGGCTGTCTTCTGCAGCATTAATGAATGATGAGGTGTTAATTATTAATAAAGATCCCAGCACTCATGCTGACTTCAATCCCAAGGCTATGGAGCCCCAGCTGCTGGGGGAGGGACAAAGCCAAGCTAACCCACAGTTATTGTTTGTATCCATCACTTGAGCCACACCCCAAGTTTAGCTGTAGTTATTCGTTTTTAGGTAGGCTCTCATGCTTTTGCCCGGCTGCTTTGTATGGAAATCCTACCTCTGCTTCCCATAGTTGGGATTGCAGGCATAAGGCGCAGTATCACACCAAGCTTTATTACTTTCCTGAGAAGGGTCTCAATAGCTTTGCCCATGCTGGCTTTGAGCCTGAGATCTTAGAATCTCTTCCTCCCAAGTCGCAGGGATCATAGGTGTGTGCTACGAAGGCCTGACTTCTCAAGTCTCTTAAAATCCACCGCTTCTATATCCCCACTTACGCTCCCACCCAGACCTCCTGCCTTCCAACCACCTAACAAATCCGTTCTCAACTCTTCCCCTGCCCGAAAGCTTCCCCTGATTCGCCTGAAAGCAAGCCCCTCCCAGCACCGGCAAGGCCCTGCCCACACCTCCACCTCCTCTTCCCTGACTCCACTTACCCGAGTCACATACTAGGTGTGAAGGCCCTGCGCTGTCTCCCTGGCCGGTCCCCAAGCTGTTCCCTGCACCTAGTATGCAAGCAAAGTTTTTACTTCTGGCGCCCCAGTGCTTTGGGAGATCTACCCTGCTCACTCTGAGCTAAAGGCCGTGTGACCCCCAACCTTTGCCTGTTTCCCTCCCAAATACTTTCTGCCCCGAACCCCAAGCTCTGGTCCCGTGGGGCCTGGCCTCTCTAGAGTCAAAACGATTACTTTGGAGGTGACGACTTATGTGAATCAGAGCTGGCCTGGGAACTTGGGCTGGATGTTGATTGGCTCTGAGATGATCACATGACACACATGAGCCAATCAGAGCTGGCCTTGGAACTTTTGCTGACCATTGGCCTTGACGATCTGCTGGGGCATTTTATTTTTGGGAGGGGTGTGTGTGTGTGTCAGCCGTGCGCACTGTCCCTCAGCTCTTCAGCTCAAGGCCAGCGCTCTGCCACTTGAGCCACAGCGCCACTTCCAGCTTTTTCTGCTTATGTGGTGCTGGGGAATGGAACCCAGGGTCTCATGCATGCCAGGCAAGCACTCTACCACTGAGCCATCTTCCCAGGCCCTGCTGAGCCATTTTAAGTAGCAAGATTTAAACCTAAGGCCTCAGGGCTTGCTGGGCAGGTGCCTTACGACCTGGGTTGGACCTGTAGCCCAACTGGATTATCTGTTATTGGGAAAGGAGCCCAACACCTATTAAATCTATAGTGATGTAATGGTGATAATTGGGGGCCTGGCTCCAACCATGCCTGAAGCCTTAAGCAACATCAACCAATTAACACCTCTAGCAGTGTAGGTGGATTGCTAAGACTAAGGTATTTGTTGAGACACAGTCTTGCCAAGTAACCCAAGCTGGCCTTGAACTCCTAATCCTCCTGAGTCAGCCCTTCAAGTGTTGGGATTACAGGTGTGTACTACCACACCCAGCTTCTAAGGTAGCATATTACTTTGCTAGTTCTACACACACACACACACACACACACACACACACACACACACACACACACACACACACACACACACACACACACACACACACACACACACACACACACACACACACACACCCTCCAAATACAGCCATGCTGAAACCATCTCTCTCAAGTTATGCCATGTCCTTCTGGTCTGGCCATACCCAGCGCCTGGACACTGGAATTTCTTTCCCAACTCTCTTGATATTGTGATATTGTTTTGTTTTTTTTTGGGGGGGGGCTCAGAACTTGCTGGCATCTGACTCCCACAGACAAGGACTCCTGTGTCTCCCGGTCCCGCTCTGGGCCTGGCGTGGAGTCGGCACCAGTGAATGACTGTTTATTGAATACATAGAGAAGAGGCTTGGAGTCCAGTGTTGACGCGGAGGTGGACAGCACGGGCACGAGTGGGTGGCCTCACGGATGAGGCCCAGCTCCGCCCCCCCCAACCGCAGGTGCAGACAGAGGCTCAGGGAGGACCAGACTCCTCAGCTTCCCGATGGGAGGAGGGCAGGGAAGGAAACCCCCCCGGCGCCGTGGGGCGACTCTCCTACATTTATTGGGCAACAGGCTGCGGGTGAGGGGAGTTAATAACTTAAAAACCGAGGTGACAGCGGCAGCTCCCCGAGACCTCTGCGGGGGGAGGGGGGTATTTACAGGGGTTTGTACAAAGTGCCCGCACCAGCCTGGGGCAGGAAGGGGGGGTTCGAGCATGAGGGCCGGGGAGGGGAGGGAATCTGCCTCTGGGACCCCTGCTCCCAGCACCCCCCAAAATCCCCCAGTCCCTAAGTAGGTTCAGCAGCTTCCCCCGCCCTGCCCAAGGCCTCATTCTTCAGTTGTTGAGAACAATGAAGTTTCCTCAGTTTCCCTTCCTGCCCCACCTCCCCTCCCCCCCAAAAGTCTCAGTGCCCCGTAGCTGGGCAGGGAGGGGCAGAACGGGCTGGAGGCTCCAGGAAGGGGGTGCCAGCTCCCCCACGAGCCCCCTCACCTTCACCTTTGTACCATGTGGCCGCCAGCCACACCTCCCCTCCCCCCACAGCCCCTTCCGCTCCTGGAGAAGGGAAGGGAGGGTGAGGGAGAGGCCAGGGAGGGGAGGCTCAGAGCTCGAGGTCGTTGGAGATGCGGGTGACGAGGGTGCGGAAGGCCAGGGCGGTGCCCGCCACCCGGCGGAAGAGAACGCCCCGCAGGCCCGGCCGGGGCAGCTGGCACACCTCCACTTCGAAGTGCGACAGGGGCTCGGGCCCGCCCGCTCCCCCGTGCAGGCAGGCCAGCAGGAAGGGCTGCGGCTGGCGGCAGCGACAGCGGGCGGCGGCCGTGGCCTGGCGCAGAGCTGCCATCAGGGCCTCGGGAGGGCGCGAGCTGGTCAGCTTTACACTCCAGGGGAATCGGAGCAGCCGGGGGGCGGCTTCCGCTTGATCCCAAGGTAGATGGCAACTGGGGAAGGCGAGGGCAGAGGTCAGGGGGACGGGAGAAGGGACCGAGGCCCGGTTTCCCAGCTTCCCCTGCAGCCAGGCCGGTAGGCCTTGAGCCTACATTCGCCTCCTCCTCCTCTACCTAGTCCTTGAGATTAAGAGATTGAAGCTACCATCTGGCACGCCACACCCCGAGCCCCTTCTGACTCGGTTTGCTGACAGGGTCTTGTGCTTTTGCCCTAGCCCATCTTGAATCTTTTGTTTTTTGTCGGTCGTGGGGCTTGAACTCTGGGCCTGGGCGCTGTCCCTCAGCTCTTCAGCTCAAGGCAAGCGCTCTACCACTTGAGCCACAGCGCCACTTCCAGTTTTCTGGTGGTTCATTGGAAATCAGAGTCTCACGGACTTTCCTGCCCGGGCTGACTTTGAACCGTGATCTTCAGATCTCAGCCTCCTGAGATCTGAGCTAGGATGACAGGTGTGAGTCACCAGCGCCCGGCTCCATCTTGAACCTTGACTTGTCCGTCTATACTTCTCTAGTAGCTGGGGTTACAGGCATGCACAGCCACGCCTGGCTCTTGTCTCTAGATTCTGGCATATGGGCCCAAGTGAGGGGTACAACTTCTATCAAGGAAGCTGTACGAGTTGAGCAGGGAAATGGCCGAGTGAGGGGTCCTGGGGCACCTCAAGAAGTGATGCGATCTGGGCCCTGCCTGTGGGTGTTAGGGGAGGGTCCCCACTCACCTTGTGACCTCAGGTCCCCCGATTCTCTCAGGTTCGTCTGCGACCCTAGGAAGTGGACAGGATCGGTGAGAGTGTGAACCAGGACCCGGCCCCCCCTCTGCCCCCACCCACAGCCAGCAGAAACTTCTGGCCGTCCCTGTCCCAGCTCAGTGGCTCCCGCTGGCTTAATTGGGCTAGGGAGAACCGAGCCAGGATAGGGGGTCCCCTCCGGGTCCAGAAGTGGGGGAGCTCCCTCTGAAGTGGTTAGTGCAGGTAGGAGGAGAGATACTGAAGATGAAAAGAGGAGGAGGGAGAGGGGAAGCATCTCCAGCTGGGCCCTTCCCGTCCCACCTGAGTCTGCTTACTTTCCTTTCTTTTTTTTTTTAGTTCCGAGAGTAGGACTCGAACTCGGTACCCGATGCTTTTGCCTCACTGGCTGGCGTTCTACCAACTGAGTCATGCCTCCAACCCCTCCGTGTGTCTCCTTAGTACTTGCCACTACCTGACAGTCAAGAGACCCTCCTTGCTGTGTGGGTGCTTTCTAGAAGCTGGGCTCTGCCAGAGCAGGAACTTCAGCACATTTGCTGCCAGGCACACAGTAGGTGCTCAATCATGAAGTAGCAAATCTGTGTCTATGTACGTGCACAAAGCACTCTCAGCCCTGTAGGTCACCTCATCAATCTCTGCAAGCACCCTGGGAGGAAGGAAAGCCAGGCTCAGAGAGGTTGAGTGACTTCCTTGAGGTCACTCAGCATAGCTAATAAGTGGGAGCCCCAAGAACAGGGCTCTGGACAACAGACTTATGACCACTCTGTCTTTTTTTTTTTTTTTTAAATCAATCCCGGGGCTTGAACTCTGGGCCTGGTTGCTGTCTCTCAGCTCTTCATCTCAAGGCGAGGGCTCTACTGCTTGAACCACAGCACCACTTCTGGTTTTCAGAGTGGTTTATTGGAGATAAGAGTCTCAGAGTTTCCTGCCCGGGCTGGCTTTGAACTATGATCCTCAGATCTCAGCCTCCTGAGTAGCTAGGATGACAGGCATGAGCTACCGCTGCACGATTTCCCTTGCCTTCTTAAGCGGGTAATAAATACCAGACCCCATACAGACCCTGTACCCCAGTTCCCATCCCCAGGACCCCTCCGATGGCCGTGCTCACAGTCGGACAGACATGCAGACAGGGAAGGAGGGCCAGCAAGGAACTGGACTTACTGATCTTGGATCCCTGGGGCAGAGAGGCGCCCGAGACACAGCGGTTCGAGTTCTGACGTTTAGAGGGATCGAGTGTAACCCTGCAGTGTGAGGAGGGGGTGAGGGGTGACAGAGGAAGAGGAAGCAGAAGAGAAGTGGAGGAGGAGGAGACGTGAGGGTACAGAGCAGAGTGGAGGACAGGTCAGGCCCACCCCTCCGCACCCCTAGATTCCAGGCAGCTCACCTGCGGGTCAGTTTGGAGGTCAGCTTGGTAAAGAGGTTGGTGGTGGGGCGCGGTCGCCCGGAGGGCAGGGGTGAAGCCTCGTGGGCCAGCGTGGGGGAGGCAGGAGGACCGTTCTGCACACCCCCGCCACCCCCGCCCCCTGCCCGCCGGTCCCGGACCTGGCCACCATGGAAGGTGCTGCGGATGGTGGAGCCCCGTGCCAGGCGGCTCCGTTCTCCGGATGGAGGGGCCAGGCTGTGGCTGGAGGGGGAGGCAGGGGGCACCCGGGGGGTACCCGAGCTGTAGGCAGAGAGGGACAAGTTAGGGTGGGGGGCCCAAGGCAGGCCAGCGCCAAGTCCCACTGATTCTTCATGGCCCTGTCCTGAGTCCTCAGACCCCAGCCAGCTCGGAGCTCACGGCTGGACGAAGCGCCTTGTTCAGATGCCCAGGCGGCCGTAGGCCACAGAACCCGCCATTATGTTATTGACTCTGGCTTTCTTGGTTAATTCTTCAAACTCTAACACCTCCCTCTGTTCGAACCCTCCTCGCTCTAGATTTACATCACTTCCAGGAGACAGTTCCGATTCCCACCTTCCCCCGACCCCTCAGGACCAGCCTGCACCTCCAGAGAACCCCTCACTGTGGTAGCGGCTTCTGCCTCTCCCCCAGAGCCCGCCCTTCTGCTCTAGGGTGTAAACACCCTTAAGAAAAAAGAGCCTGTGGGCTGGGAAGGTGGCTCAGTGGCAGAGCGCTTGCCTTGCATGCATGATTCCTCAGCACCACATAAACAGGAAAAGCTGGAAGTGGCACTGTGGCTCAAGTGGTAGAGCGCTCGCCTTGAGCTGAAGAGCTGAGGGACAGCGCCCAGGCCCAGAGTTCAAGCCCCACGACCGGACCCCCCCCAAAAAAAAAGAAAAAAGAAAAGAAAAAGAGCCTGCATATAGTCTCTGGCCCAGAGACTACATTTCCCAGCATTCACTGCAGCACATATTGGCCATGTGACCACCCGGGCCAATAGGATATAAGCAGCAGTCTTGTGTTCCACTTCTGGGGCCATGCCTTTCAAGAATGCTGTTTAACCCTCTCTGCTCTGTTCCTACTTCTGCAAAGAAGTGTTGGGAGGCTGGCAGCTGGCACGGCAGCCTGTGACCCAGAGCTGGAGCTGGCAGGATCCTAAGCAAGTCCTGAGCACTGTCTACCTTTTAATGGTTCTGTCCCAGAAGGTTAAATGTCCATCTTTTGTTTTTGTCAGTTGTAGGGCTTGAACTCTGGACCTGGATTCTGTCCCTGCGCCTCTTTGTGCTCAAGGCTAGTGCTCTACTACTGGAGCCACCCACACTACTTCCAGATTTTGAGTGGTTCAACCGAGATAAAGAGTCTCACAGAAACTTTTCTGTCCAAGGTGGTTTTGAACCGTGGTCCTCAGATCTCAGCCTTCTGAGTAGGTAGGAATACAGGCGTGAGCCACCGGCACCTGGCCCCATCTTTTTTTTTTTTAAGCCACTGTTCCTACTTCATGACAATTCTGTTATAAGCTAACTGGTCTACTGTCTTGTCCAGAATGGAAGGCCACATACTATGATGGCCACAAATACAGATTCTGGAATCAGTCTGGAATCTTGTGTTCCTCAAATTAGCTACCAGCTGTGTATCCTTGGATAAGTTACTTAACCTTCCTGTGCCTCATTTTCTCAGCTGCAAAATGGAGACTGGAGGACCTACACAATGTGGTCAGAGCATTAGGTCAGCTACTGGACACAGCCTGGTGACACACGGCTGCTGCTTGAAGAGTGATCAGTTATTATTTGAATTTAATTAATTAATTTGTTGGTTGTGGGGCCTGAACTCTGGGCCTGGGCGCTGTCCCTCAGCTCTTCAGCTCAAGGCTAGCGTTCTACCACTTGAGCCACAGCGCCACTTCCAGCTTTTTCTGTAGTACTGAGGAATCGAACCAAGGGCCTCATGCATGCAAGGCAAGCACTGTACCACTGAGCCACCCTCCCAGCCCAGTTATTATTTTTATTTAGGTCACTAAATAAAAAATAAACCATGGACCAGATCCTGACCTCGATGGGACCTGGAAGCAATCAGCATTTGGCAGAGGAGGAAGCAGGCTGAGAGATCTCTCCAAGTCACCTCACTAACAGTGCAGAGGTAAGGCTCACAGAGTCCTATCTGTCACCCCCCCCACATCACCCCAACACCTGCAGTCATGCACCCCCAAGGACAGTTGCCAGCCTTGTCCCTGGGCGCCCTGGTGCTGGCTAACTGCACACCCTGCGTGGGCAGGAGTGTGACTCTACTGGATGCCACCCCCTCCCGGGTGAAGCTGAGAGAGAGAGACAGAGAGAGAGAGACCACAGCAGGCCCAGGCCTCCAGCCAGCACCCAGCAGCCAGATGAGAGGCTCAGGAGCTAGAACAAATCTGGGCTCCTCTTGAGTTCTAAAAATGGATCATTCAAAAACTTGCCCGGGTTCCCAGGCTGGTGGGCGGACTACTTCCCTGGTTCATTGAGTCTGAGCATCTGGAGGGAGCGGGTGGAGGAGGGACCAGCTTACTGTCCCACCCCCTAGCCCCAGGATGCCCCCCCCCCCCCCCCCCCCCCCGCTGCCAGCCATACCTGTTTTCTTTGCCATTTGGCAACAGGGATGGGCGCTCGGCCCCAGGGCGCTCAGTGCACACGTAGGTGTTCCTGCGGGTCATCATGCTGGGAGGAAGGTTGTTCTGTGGGAGACAGGCCAAGCAGGGGAAGGTAGGTGTGGGTTCTCTCCCAGAGCCCACCCTCCCCTTTTGCTCCTGGAATCCACACCCCTGAAAGTGACCTGCACACTGCCTCCCAGAACGACTACGTTTCCCAGCGTCCTTTGCAGCAAGGGCAGGTCACGTGACCAAACACTGGCCAATCAGAGCAGACATGGAGTCCAGAGCCACAGGACAGCTCCCTTGTGCAGGGCACCCCTCTGGCTTATGTCCCCACTTTTCTCCTGCAAAGCCTGAGGCAGGGGCTCCCTGGGTTCCCATGGAGACGGAAACATTGAGTTCTCTCTGCTGGGGTCACAGGGCCCATTCCTCATGCGGCAAGCTGGCACACTGGCATACAGCACATGGTCAGGCAAACAGCAGGCACTCGATAGATGCACAAATGGCTATCACAGAGCCTGGGTGCTGCAGGGTCAGAGCAACCATGCTCACGGGCAGTGTGGACAGGCTGCCCCATCACTCACAGGGGTGCTCGTGCTGTCCTTCCGCCGCTCGGGGATCTCCGCCTTGTTGGGGTTGTGGGCACTGCTGACCATGGGGCTGGAAGGGGGCAGCCCTCGGCTCCCGCTGCCCGCCGCGCTGCAGCTGGCCTTCCGGCCAGGCAGCCGCTCCTCCTTCAGCTCTGCCTCCCCTGTGCTGGTCGGGCTGCGTTTAGGGTGCAGGGGGGCAGGGGATGGGCCGCCTGGTAGGGAGAAGGGGCATGGTTAGAGCTAGGGTCTCCTGGGAAGCCTCAGCACCCTTGTTGGCATAGAACCTCTGCACAGGGCCATTCTGAGGGCATTTTACAAAAGCCACCAGCGCCTGCCCCTGGAAAAAATGGCTCAAGGAGACCCTAGTTACCGTTTGGCCCAGACTGTAAACGTGAGGCATGAGGAGTCTCAGTTGAGAGATCAAGAGGGGATCAGGAAGCTGGGTGCTAGTGGATCCTGCCTGTCATCCTAGCTACTAAGAAGGCTGAGATCTGAGGATCACAGTTCAAAGCCTGCTGGGCAGGCAAGTCCACGAGACTCTTATCTCCAGTAAACCACTCAGAAAACTGGAAGTGGCACTGTGGATCAAGTAGTAGAATGCTAGCCTTGAGCAAAAGAGCTCAGGGATAGCGCTCAGGCCTTAACTTCAAGTCCTACAACTGGCCAAAAAAAAAACAAAACAAAAAGGAGTCAGGAGAGAAAAAAGACAAGGAAGTTGGGTACAGACAGTGTCTGATCTGGGCCTGGCAATTTTTGCAGGCTTGTGCTCCTTTTTGTTGTTGGTTGTGGGTCTTAAACTCTGGGCCTGGGCACTGTCCCTGAGCTCTTCAGCTCAAGGTGAATGTTCTACCACTTGAGCCACAGCGCCACTTCCAGTTTTCTGGTGGTTCATCGGAGATCAGAGTCTCAGGGACTTTCCTGCCCTGGCTGGCTTTGATCCTCAGATCCTGAGATCCTCAGATCTCAGCCTCCTGAGTAGCTAGGATTACAGGCGTGAGCCACCGGCACGCCTGGCAGGTTTATGCTCTGCCAGGACACGCTTCGGCACTGCAGGCAGTGTCCTGCCCACGGGGACCCTGCCCCCCTCCAGCACTGGTGGGCTCGGGCCGGGTGGACACTCACAAAAGTCGCTGTGCCTGCGCTGGCGGTGGTAGGTGGACGAGGAGCTCCGCTGCCCCTTGCTGTGGCTGCTGCTTTTGCTGGAGCTCGTGCCATTGGTGGTATCGCTGGGCGCCCGCACCCGTGCCAGGGCCAGCCCAGGGGCGCCCCGATCCCCACCCTCCTGTGAGAACATGACAGAGGAGGGGTCTCAGCCCGTCTCTGCTCCCCCCAGCCCCCCCCAGCCGCTCCCCCAGGCTCCCTCTGACCTCAGTCTTCCTGCCCAGCAGGAGGTAGGTGGCGGTCACTTCATTGTACTTCTGGCTGGTCAAGGCCTCTTTGATTTCTTCCCGGGTGTAGCCCATGCCCACCATCACCTCTGGGGGAGGGTGGAGAAGGTCAGTCACCAGCCCTTCCCTCCGTAGTATCTGCTCTTTGTTCTGGTTAGTATTTATTCACTCTCCTCTGTCATCAGTACAGATCAGTACTCTGCCCACTGGGGCCGAAGCAGGCAAATGAGGTGGGTCTGGCCAATCAGCCTGCTCCATCCCCAAAGCCACACTGATTAGCTCAGAACAGACACATGGCCCAGATTTGGCCAATCAGAGCGCTTGACCCTCCCCCGCCCCCGTCACACTAATGCTGATGTTGGCAATGTTTGACTTATACAATGCTGATCTCATGGGATTCAGCCTATTATTATTATTGTTGTTGTTGTTTCGTTATTTTGGGTTTTCTGTTACTTGCAACCACAGAAGTCCTGACCAATGTGGTCAGGAGCCTATGAAAGCCTGTTTCCTCCACCGTACAATGGAGGATTTGGGGTGGTTTCTCAGGGGTTCCTTCTAAGCTAACCCTTTAGGGCTCACAAATGTTAGGGGAAGGATCAAGTCCAAAGAACAAAAAAGATATGCCAGACCCCGGTGGTTCACACCTGTAATCCCAACTACTCAGGAGGCTGAGATCTGAGGATCGTGGTTCGAAGCCAGCCCAGGAAAGTCTGTGAGACCCTTTTCTCCAATAAACTACTCAGAAGAAGCTGGAAGTGTGGTGCTGTGGCTCCAGTAGTAGAGTGCTAGCCTTCAGTACAGGGAGGCTCAGGGCCAGCACCCAGGCCCTGAGTTCAAGCCCCAGGACCAGCCCCCCCCCCCAAAAAAAAAGAAAGAAAAAGAAAAAGAAAAAAGTATGTATGAAGGAGGGGAAAGGCAGGTATCTGATGATCTGTGTTCAAATTCTCCTCAAATGGATCTGCAATTTTTCCTTCTTTTATTAAAAAAATTATTAATTGTCGCTTTTGGCGACAAGGTCTTGCTATGAAATCGAGGCTGGCCTCAAGCTCAAGATCCTCATCCTTCAGACTCCCTGGGACGGGGATGACGGGTTTGCGCCATCATGCCTATCTCTTCCTAACCTGATGGTCAGAGCAGGTGCTGGCTCGTCCATGCTTACGTAGATCAACTCACTTACTATGCACCAGGCCCTATGGGCAGGTTTTGCCATGACGACCTCGGAGCCCAGAGAGGGAAAACCACTGGCTCAGGGTGTCACAGCTCAACAGAGCAGCCTCGGCATAGGAACCCAGAGTGGATTCCTAGCTGCCCAGTACCTGACCGAAGGGACCACAGCCTGGTGGCTCCCGTCCTGCCCGAGTCTCACCGATCCGTTTGGTGTCCCCAAAGTCTTCCTCGGGCTCCGTGTATGGCTTCAACTCCTCGCCCTCGTAGCCGATGTTCATCCATTTGTCTTTCATGATTTGCTGTGTAGCGTGGGGGACAGGCGGCGTCAGAGGCAATCAGACACAGCACAGCCCCCCCACACTTCCAAGGCCTAAGTTACACCCCCCCCCAAATCGAATGGAGGGCTTGTTTTGAGCTTTGCCTGCCATGCCCACCTCCTGCGGGAGCTTCTAGTTGCCACCCTCTTCCTCCCATGCTGCATGGGGGGGCCCTTGGCACCCTGTAATAAGTCTAGGCGCTTATTAGCTAATTACTTAGCATGGCGGGGAGTGGGTGAGTTGGCCTGGGAGCAGCTTCCCGGGGCTGCCCATCTACTCCCACGGCGGTGGCTGTGTGGGGAGGGAGCCCAGAGTCTGGGGGGAGCTGGGGGATGGGAGGGGCGGGCGAGGGGCTGGGGTTCACCTCAAGGGTACAGCGTTTAGCGGGGTTCAGCACCAAGAATCTCCGCAGGATGCTCTCACAGTCTGTGGACATGTAGAAGGGGACGCGGTACTTGCCTCTGAGCACGCGCTCCCGCAGCTCCTGCGGGGGGGTGACAAGGACAGGACCACCCCACCCCGTGAGGTCGGGGCCTGCCCTTCCCCCTCCCCTCAGCCTCTCACATCCAAAGCGGGGCACACTACCGAAGTTCTCGTGGCTTTTAGAGACAGGTCTCCTTTACGGAGCTGGCTTCCAACTCTTTTTTGTTGTTGTTGTTGTTGGTCGTGGGGCCTGAACTCTGGGCCTGGGCGCTGTCCCTCAGCTCTTCAGCTCAAGGCCAGCACTCAACCACTTGAGCCACAGCACCACTTCCGATTTTCTGAGTGGTTTATTGGAGAGCAGAGTCTCACGGACTTTCCTGCCCAGGCTGGCTTTGAACCTCAGATGTCAGCTTTCTGAGTAGCAAGGATTACAGGCATGAGCCACCAGCACCCAGCGGGCCTTGAAGGCTCAAACCTCCTGCTTTCACCTCCCATGAACCTGGGATTGCTCTGAGCATCCGGATCTTATCTTACAGGTAGGGGGACCCGGGTTCAGAAATGGACTTGTCCAAGGTCATCTGGAGATGACAGAGCTGGAGGCTTGATGGAAACCAGGGTGGCGGGAGATGAAAAGGGCCTGGGGCAGGCGTAGTGCTATCCCGGCCCTTTGAAAAGATCTCTTAGTGTCACACCTGGCTCTCAGGAAAACTATTCCATGACGGGTTTCCTCCCCAGGCTCCAGGTGTTCAGGGAACACCTTGAATTGTAGCCACAAGATGTGTGTGTGTGTGTGTCTGTGTCTGTGTGTACACGTGCACATGTGTGCATGCGCACCAGTCATGGGGCTTGAACTCAATCAAGGCCTACGTGCTGTCCTTGATCCACAGCTCCAGCTTTTTGGTGGTTCGTGGAAGTCTCCCAGCCTTTCCTGCCAGGACTGGCTGCAAACTGTGATTCTCGGCTCTCAGCCTCGTGCATGGCTAAGATGATGGGCGTGAGGCACTAGCTCCCAGCAAGATGGGTATCTTCATGACCTGGTAGCTCAGAGGGCTCAGCTGCCTGGCCCAGGCCTTGTGAAGACTGGGTCCCTGCCCCTCTCTCTCAGATCTCAGGCCACTCCTTCTGATTTCAAACTTCCTGGATACACTGAGCAGAATGGAGCTCCGTACTTCAGAAGTCCCTCAAAAGACCCCCGGAATGTGGCCTAGAAGTCCCACCAGGTCGCCGGACAAAAGGACACGCCCCTCTGCACAAGAAGCAGGCCATGATGCTTGTGCTAGGAGCCATTCTGGCATGGAAAAAACAAGGGATCGCCGACTGGAAAAGAAAAAAAAAAACAGTGGCCAAGCATATTTCTAAGGTAGCTGACGACATGGGTGGTAAGGTCAGCAGGGTGGCAGCCAGGCCAGGGAGAGCGTCCCGCTTCCTGTGTGTGACTTCCCCAGGAAGACGTCCCTGCTCTCAAGAGGTGACCTGAGAAAACCTTTAGGGACAAAGGGTCATCGTCTCTCGTGTCTATCAATAACAATGATGAGGGCTGGGCATGGTGGCTCATGCCTGTGATTCCAGCTACTCACGAGATGAGACTGGGATGATGGAAGTTTGAGGCCAGCCAGGGCAAAATGTTAGCAAGACCTCCATCTTAACTGGATGGGGGGAGGGCCTTAGGAAAATCCATGAGACTCTTATCTCCAGCTAACTACCACAAAAGCCAGAAGTAGCCAGGCGCCAGTGGCTCATGCCAGTCATCCTAGCTACTCAGGAGGCTGACAACTGAGGATCGAGGTTCAAAGCCAGCCCAGGCAGGAAAGTCCGTGAGACTCTGATCTCCAATCAACCACCAGAAAACCAGAAGTGGTGCTGTGGCTCGAGTGGTAGAGCACTTGCCTTGAGCTGAGGGACAGTGCCCAGGCCCAGAGTTCAAGTACCATGACCACCACCACCATCACCAGCAACAACAACAAAGCCAAAAGTGGAGCTGCGGCTCAAGTGGTAGAGCACCAGCTTTGAGCCCAAAAGCTCAAGGACAGCGCCCAGGCCCTGAGTTCAAGCCCCAGTAACTGGCAAAAAAAAAAAGTGCTTCCCTACCAAGTGCAAGGCCCTGAATTTATACCTCAATATCACCCCCTCACCCCCCCCCCCAATAAAAGGGAAAAGATAAAATAACAGTGGTGAGGACTAGCACACTAGCCACATGCACACAGTGACGAATCTAGCCGTGTGGCTGAGCGCCAGCCAACATGAATTTCCTGAACGGTACCAGTGTTCTTTCTTGCTGTGTTCTCGCAAGTTCTCCATAGGTTGGCAATGATTCAAAGGAAAAACACAAAAGCAAGCCAAGCAGATGACCCTGACCCCCACCCATCCCACCCTTCCAGTGTCTGTTCCCCAGCCTCTCACTTCGCCCTCTTTTGTTTCTGTTGTTTTCTGTCTGGCCTGTTCTGCAGTGTCCCTGTGGCAGGATGGAAAGTTTTCTGCCCTAAGTGAGCAATTCCTGGGGTTTTTGGTGGACCTCCCCGGGCTGCAGGTCACCGCCGCGATCAACTTGAGTACATTGTTCATCAAGCCAGAAGCAGCTATCACCCCAGCTCCCCCGCCCCCCACCCCGCCTCAGACCGTCAGTAATCTGCTTTCCTCTTCCGTGGATTTGCCGATTCTGGACATTTCACAGAAATGAAATCACTCTGTCCTTCTGTCACTGGGCACAGCTCTCATCAGCCTGGGGAGTTCTGTACCCCCACCCTTCTTTTGGTGATTAGTAATCAAGCCCAGGGCCTTACACAAGGTAGGCAGGAGCTCTACCACTTAAGCCACATCCCCAGCCCCTGTGTTGCTTTTGAGAGGGGATCTTGCTCACTTTGCCTGGGCTGACCTTGAACATTCCATCCTCATACCTCCCCCTGCAGAACATCTGGAACCACAGGTGTCAGTCACCCTGCTCTGCTCTCTCCTCATTCACTCATGCTGTACTTGCAGTGCCATCGCCCAGAGATGCCATCACACAGTGCTATCGCCCAGAGATGGGCGATGATTATTTCTTAAATGAGAGCTGGGATGGGACCCCATGCCTGTGGGCAGCCACGCCCACACGGGGGTCTAACCACGCCCACATAAGCCAGCACCATTGTAGCCACGCCCACGCACAGAGCAAACCTCTTTGTGGCCACGCCCACGCACAGAGCAAACCTCTTTGTGGCCACGCCCACAGACAACCAGGCTGTAGCCACGTCCACAGCAAACCAACCAGCAGAGACCACATCCACACAAATCATTGGTTGGGCCACCCAAGCCACGCCCACCAATCGCACAAACCCCACCCACACAAGCCCGCGGTTGCAGCGAACACCTCTAGCCCCGCCCCACAGCCAAACACTGCCCTGGCCACGCCCATACCTCCATCACGCTGCCCCGCCCCTTACCTTGAGGTTGTGCCCGTCAAAGGGCAGGGAGCCGCTGACCAGGGTGTACAGGATGACGCCGAGGCTCCAGATGTCCACCTCGGGCCCATCGTACTTCTTGCCCTGGAACAGCTCAGGGGCGGCATACGGGGGGCTCCCGCAGAAAGTGTCCAGCTTCGAGCCCAGCGTGAACTCGTTGCTGAAGCCGAAGTCCGCGATCTTGATGTTGGCCTCGGCATCCAGCAAGAGGTTCTCAGCCTGGGGGTGGGGGAGGAATCGGGGGTCTCTGTGGACAAGGCTGGACCAGGCCTCTCCCACCCCAGGCAATGGCGGCGTGCCCTTGGGCACTGCCCTCACCTCCGGCCACTGGGTGGGCATAGTGGGAGACTGAGAACTAAGCAAAGGATTTTGTGCTATGATCACGTGCAGACTACGGAGCCAAGCTCGTTAGGCACATTTTTGCCTTGCCCTGAGCCTCAGTTTACCCAGTAGAAAATAAAAATAAGAGCTGGGGACATGACTGGGTAGCAGAGCAATTGCCTAACGCGGGAAGCCCTGGGCCCCATCCCCAGCACCACAAATTACAAAAGCAAAGGAAAGAAAATGGCAGGTTCCTTAAGACTGTAATAAGGAAAATAAAAACTTTATTTGCTGCCCATCTACTATGTGCTGGGCACTGTGCATTACAGGTAAGAGAACCACTGTGTTACAATGAGGTTTGCATTTTTAAACCTTTTTTCATTGCATATTTCCTATAATTTTTTTTTTAATGGTTGGTCATGGGGCTTGAACTCAGGGCTGGGCACTGTCCCTCAGATCTTTTGCTCAAGGATAGCCCTCTACCACATTGAGCCACAGCGCCACTTCTGGTTTTCTAGTGGTTTATTGGAGAGAAGAGTCTCACAGACTTTTTCGCCTGAGCTGGCTTCCAACCATGATCCTCAGATCTCAGCTTCCTGAGTAGCTAGGAGTACAGGCATGAGCCATTGGCAGCTGGCTTTGATTTTATTTTACAAAAGTATCTTTCCATATGGGAAATTTTTAAAATTTATTTTTCCAGTACCAGGGCTTGAAATCCAGGCCTTCTGCTTGTTTGTATGCTCAGCAGGTGTGCTTCTACATAAGCCTTTTTTTTTTTTTTTTGCTGGTTGTGGGGCCTGAACTCAGGGCCTGGGTGCTGTCTCTAAGCTCTTCAGCTAAAGGCTAGCGCTCTATCACTTGAACCACAGAGCCACTTTTCTGCTTATATGGTGCTGAGGAATTGAACCCAGGGCCTCATTCATGCAAGGCTTACTCTACCACTGAGCCTTTTCCCAGTCCTGGTTTGTGTTTTTTTTTTTTGGTGGGTCATGATGCTTGAACTCTGGGCTTGGGTGCTGTCCTTGCACTCTTCAGCTTAAGGTGAGCGCTCTAGAGCTTCAGCCACAGAGCCACTTCTGGTTTTCTAGTGGTTTATTGTAGATAAGAATTCCGCCCAGTATGGCTTTGAACCGCAATCCTCAGATCTCAGCCTCCTGAGTAGCTAGGATTACAGGCGTGAGCCACCGGCGCCTGGCAACCTTAAACTCTTTTTTTTTTTTTTTGGGGGGGGGGTCTGGTGTGGGGCCTGAACCCTGGGCCTGGGCACTGTCCCTCAGCTCTTCAGCTGAAGGCTAGTGCTCTACCACTTGAGCCACAGCGCCACTTCCAGCTTTTTTCTTTTTGCTTATGTGGTGCTGAGGAATCGAACCCAGGGCCTCAGGCATGCAAGGCAAGCGCTCTACCACTGAGCCACCTTCCCAGCCCCAACCTTAAACTCTTAAGTGATCCTCTGGCCTGTGTTTTGAAATAGTCCAGAGTGACCTTGAACTCATGACCTTCCTGCTTCAGCCTCTCTTGTACTGGAATTACAGGCATGTTCCACCATGCCCGGTCTTTCCAGAGGTTCTCTGAAAAGCCAAGATCCTGCTGTGACACCTGCATCCTACCCAAGTGTCCCCGTCCAGCTCATGTAGCCACCAGGGCTGTGCCAGAACCTGTCCTGTCCTCTGCCTGCAACCCTATCCAAGGCTGCATTCTGGGACAAATCTCTGGGAAGAGCCCAGAGATCTGGGGTCCTGGGGGAAGCCCAGTCAGTGCATGAGGGGTGGGGGTTGAGGGGTGAGGGGAAGGGTCCCCAAGGTCACAGGGGGCCTTACCTTCAGGTCCCTGTGGACAATGTTTTTCTGGTGACAGTAGTGCACAGCCGATACAATCTGCAGAAGAAGGTGAATTATTTGTGGACGCCATGCCTTGGTCCCCAGTGGTCTGTGAAGGTGATCCACAGCCCTGTCCCCAACTTGGCCCAGGCCTCTGACCTGTCGGAATTTAGCTCGCGCTTCCTTCTCCTTCATGCGGCCATGGGACACGAGGTAGTCAAACACTTCTCCTGGGGGCAGAGGCCAAGCGGGGGTCAGGCAGGGCATGGGGATGCAGGGGTGAGGTGTGAAGAGGGGTGGGGCATGGGGGTGCAGGGATAGGGCATGCAGAGGAGCGTGGGGAAGAGAGGTAAGGCCTGGGGGTGCAGGGAAGGGGGACTGCGCAGAGGGCGTGGCCTGAGGAATGAGGGGGCGTGGCCTGAGGGATGAGGGGCGGAGTATGAGGTTGTGAAGGGCGGGGCCTGGCTAGAGGTACCGGGTATAAGGGATACAGGGTGGGGCATGGAGATGGGCGGGGTGTGAAGCATGTGGGCGGGGCATGGGGAAGGGGGCGGGGTGTGGAGAGGGGGCGTGGCCAGCGCCTCACCTGCACTTGCATATTCCATCACTAGGTAGAGTGTCTTCTCTGTCTCGATTACTTCGAAGAGCTTCACTGTAGGACCAGAGGGGAGGGCGTGGGGTCAGGTGGGCAAACCCCTCTCTCCCCCCTCCCCCGCCCCGCACCTCCAGGCTCCCCCCACGCTTTGGGTCCATCAGGTCCCCTACTAATGGTATCCTCAACTGGGCAGCAACCATCCACCAGGAGACAGGACCGGGGGAAGGGAGCTGCTTCCGCCATCCAGGCCTTGGTCAGGAGAGACCCCGAGCGACCACCCCACCCCCCTCTTCCTGACAATGACATCCATGCTCCCATACCCGCAGTCCCCGAAGTTTAGCCCTGAACCAAGTGCTCTTTGTTCAGAGCAGAAAGTAAGAGAACAGAGAGGTCATGTGGCTGCCTTCAAGCCACACAGTAGTAGAGATGTCAGCCTCCCTGTCCCCTGCCTCTGCCTTCCCAGGAGGCTGGGCTGGCAGCCTGTCCCAGAGCCTGCTTACTCCCTTGCTCACCGATGTTGGGATGGTTTAGGCCCTTCATGATTCGGACTTCTCGGAACAGCTAGGTGAGGCCAGAAAGAAAGAAAGAAAGACAAGAATGAGGGGGAAAACCAAATTGTCAAGCAGGGGTCAGGGCAGAGGCTCGCATCTATTAATCCCCGGCATGTGGAAGGTCAAGATAGGGGAGGATCATAGTTTGAGGCCAGCTCAGACAAAAACGTCAGGGAGACCCCATCTTTTTTTTTTTTTTTGGTCGGTCGTGGGGCTTGAACTCTGGGCCTGGGCGCTGTCCCTCAGCTCTTCAGCTCAAGGCGAGCGCTCTACCACTTGAGCTACAGCGCCACTTCCGGTTTTCTGGTGGTTTATTGGAGATAGGAGTCTCACGGTCTCTCCTGCCCGGGCTGGCTTTGAACCGCGATCCTCAGATCTCAGCCTCCTGAGTAGCTAGGATTACAAGCATAAGCCACCAGCGCCTGGCTGGAGACCCCATCTTAACCAATGACCAAGGTACGGTGGCAGGTACCTGCCATCCCAGCTATGCAGGAAGAGTGAATAGGCGGATGGCGATCCGGCTGGACCCAGACAATCCTTTGCAACCCCATTCAAAAAGCAGTTAAAGCAAAAAGAGTGGGCAGATGGGCCAGCTCAAGTGTCAGAATGTCTGCCTAGCAAGCACAAGGCCCTGAATTCAACCTCACAACCATCAAAGAAAAAAGGGAGAGATGATGAATGGTTTGGGGGATCCCCTCCCCTAGCAGTGGCACCTTGCTCCCACTTTATTCCCCCTTCTTTAGGCCGCACCTTCTGCAGGCTGCTGGGGTTCAACTGGGTTTTATCAATGATCTTGATTGCGACCTAGAGGAGAGAAGGAGGAAGAAAAAGGTCAGGGTTCTCCCTGAACAGGGAGAGGTCTCCGACAGCGCAGATCACAGGAAAAAAGCCCTTGTTTGGTCTCCGTTCTTGGAAGAGTCTTCCCTCGGCACCATTGCCACGCATTGGCCTCAGGGCCTTTGCACATGACTCTCATCTCCAGGGCTGTCCTTTCTTCCACAGGGAACTGTCCTCTATTTTGAGGCAGGGCCTGCACAAAGCCGCTCCAGGGGCTGTGAGTAGGTGAGAGGCCCTGAGATCCTGAGGGGTTCCCTGCATGATGGTAGTGCAGGGCAACTGTGTATCCGGCTTTCAACGCTTGACGTGTGAGGTAATGATGACAGCCAACGCTCACCGCTCCCTGAACGCCAGCTACTGCTCTGGGCTTTGCAGTGGAGACAGCATCCTACAGCATGAGGGAGGCCCCCCCCCCACACCAAATTTACAAAAGAGGAAACGGGAGCCAGGCACTGGTGGCTCACACCTGTCATCCTAGCTACTCCAGAGACTAGGATCTGAGGATCAGGGTTCAAAGCCAGCCTGAGAAGGAAAGTCTATGAGACTCTTCTCTCCAATGAAGAAGCACCAGAAAACCAGAATTGAAGCTGTGGCTCAAAGTGGTAGAGCGCTCGCCTTGAGCAAAAGATCTGAGGGACAGCGCCCAGGCCCTGAGTTCAAGCCCCAGGATTGACAAAATAAACAAATAAAAATAAAAAAGAGGAACCAGAGGCATGACCCGGTTTCGTCACTCAGGCAAGACGATGCAGGCTTGAACTCACGACCGCAAGCTCTCCCTTGGCTTTTTCACTCGAGGTTGGCAAGCTACTCCTTGAGCCACAGCTCTATTTCTGTGAGATAAAAGTCTCACAGACGTTCCTGCTGGCTCTGAACCGTTGATCCTCCAGATCTCAGCCTCCCTGAGTAGCTAGGATGACAGGCGTGAGTCTCCAGGCTCCCAGACCCCTCCCATGCACTGGATGAATCTTCCCCTGGGACGCCTGTTCCCTTCCGCTCTGGGCTCGTGGAAACCTCTGGAACTGGGTACAATTCACATATGGTGAGCCCCACGCTCGCTGTGTGGGGAAGGGCCCCTCGATTCGCTCACATCGCACCCATAGATGGCTTCAACCTTGGCAAACGCTGCGCGTGGCAGCACTGAGGATCATATGGTTCCTCTCCCGGAATCTGTGAACGTGGCGCTGCGCGCGCGGGCATAAATCAACCGGCAGAGGGAAGAAGGTGACGAGCCAGGCCTGGGAGAAGCCAGCTCTGTCGCCCGCGCCCCACGGAAACGTGACATTTGAATGTCCGGTGGAACCTACCCTGCTGAGAGGGTGGCCAGTGCCTCCGTCTAAGGGTACGGGGGTGGGGGATCCTGAAGCTATGGGGGTGCCGCCCACCTGTCTGTCCCCCGTCAGTGTGAATGAGGGGCCCTGCGCTGAGGTCCTGCCCTCCCCAAAGGATGCTGGGAGAGCGAGGATGTGACACCCTGACCTCCCCCCCCCCCCAAAGCTGCTGTGTCCTCAGGTTTGGGGGGGAATCTGGAGCAACCAGGGTCCATCTTTAAGATGGGGTGGGGGTGAGCGGGGCACTGGTGGCTCTGTCATCCTAGCTACTCAGGAGGCTGAGATTTGAGGATAACGGTTTGAAGCCAGCCCGGGCAGGAAAGTCCATGAGACTCTTATCGCCAATGAACCACTTAAAAACCAGAAGTGGTGCCGTGGCTCAAGTGGTGGAGCACCCACCTTGAGCTGAAGAGCAGAGGGACAGCGCCCAGGCCCAGAGTTCAACCCCCATGACTGACAAAAAAGAGAGAGAGAGAAAGAGAGAGAGAGAGATGGGGAGGGACTGGGAATGTGGCTCAGTGGTAGAGTGCTTGTCTAGCATGCATGAAGCCCTGGGTTCCATTCTTCAGCACCACATACACAGAAAAAGCCAAAGGTGGCGCTGTGGCTCAAAGTAGTAGAGAGCTAGCCTGAGCAAAAAGGAGCTCATGGACAGTGCCCAGGCCCTGAGTTCAAGCCCAGCACTGGCAAAAAAAAAAGATGGGAAGGGCTGAGGGCATGGCTCAGCAGTAGAGTACCAGCCCAGCATGGACAAGACCCTGGATGCCACCTCCAGCACCAAAAAAAACAAGGAAGGGAGGTGGTGAGGGTTTAGGCAGGAAGATCGTGTGCCTCCTGAGGCATACTACACACCACCAGCCGAGGCAGTGCATGCCTGCCATCTTGGCTCTTGGGAGGCAGAGGCAGGAGGATCACAAGTTCGAGGCCAGCCTGGGCTGCAGAGTCAGACCTTGCCTCAAAAAAATAAAACAAACAACAACAAACCTGGCCTGGTGGTCAGTTACTTGGAATGCAGGGGAGGAAGGATCTGGAAAATAACTAGAGGAAGGACAGGATGGGGGTGGGGGCGTGGCTCCAGTGGTAAAGCACCCAGCCAGCCAGCATGAGGCCCACATTCACACCCATGGATGGAGGAAAGTGCCCAGAGCCCGCACTCCGGTGTGGTCTCCAGGGAGGCCGGGGCGTGGTGGGGGACGCTGAGCGCAGGACGCAGTCCCAGCCCGCCCCAGCCCTGCTCACCTCAGCCTGCCCCAGCCCTGCTCACCTCTCGTCCCGTGAGGATGTGTCGAGCCAGCTTGACCTTGGCAAAGTTGCCTTTCCCGATGGTCCGCAGCAGGCGGTAGTTACCTACGTGGGGCTGCTCCTCGGGACAGGAGGCGATGGAGTTCCGGCAGCGGGCGCCCAGGGAACGGCTGGACCACGACGGCCCCTTGTCTGAAGACCGTCCGCTGCCCAAGGTGCCATGCTGGACAGGAGGGAAAGACAAGTGTAAACTGCCTGTTCCTACCTCCTCCACCGCCGCCACTGGCCCCGGGAAGGAAGAATGACCGTTGGATCTAACCCTAGCTACTCCAAGGTGGCCCTTTTTAAACTAGAGACCCAACACCACTTTCTGGTACCTATAATCCCAAGGTTCAAGGCCATCTTGGGCCAAAAAAAAAAAAACCCAAGACCTCATCTCAACCAATAAGTCTGGTGTGGCCGGACATGCCTGAGATCCCAGTTACTCAGGAGGTGCAAATAGGAGGATCGCAAATTCAAGGCTGGTGCCATACAGAAAGATTAAAAAAAAACAAACAAGACTCAAGCAAACAAGGCTTGGGGACGGGGCCTAAGTGGTGGTAGAGCACCTGCTTAGTAAGAAGGACCTGGGTTCAAACCCCCAGAATCACTGCAAGAAAAGAGAGAGAGGGAGAGGGAGAGGGAGAGGGAGAGGGAGAGGGAAATCCAGCCCCAATTCTACGCCAAGCCCTGACACCCTAGCTGATCTCTCTCACATCTTCCCCTCAACTACCGCTTCTGGGCTTTACCTGGTCTAGAGACAGTACCTGGAGCTGGGAAGCAGTGGCTCATGCTTGTCATCCTAGCTACCCAGGAGGCTAAGATCCGAGGATCAAGGTTTAAAGCCAGCCCAGGCAGGAAAGTCCATGAGACTCTTATCTCCAATGAACAACTAGAAAACTAGAAGTGGCGCTGTGGCTCAAGCGGTAGAGCGCTCGCCTTGAGCCGAGGAGCTGAGGGACAGTGCCCAGGCCCAGAGTTCAAGCCCCCCCCCCACCACAAACAACAAAAAAGACAGCACATGGAAACTTCCAGCTAGAACCTTGGTCATGGAAGTTTCCCCAGGTCCCCGGGACCACAGTATCTCACGGGGAGATTTCTGCTTTACAATGGTAGCCGACCTCTGGCGGCCCTGGTGTATCATTAAGCTTTATCACAAGCATACAAGCAAAAAAAGAACATGCCAAGTGTGGCATGCACACGCTCCAGGTAGCAAGCATGTGGGGGGTGTGTGTGGGGGGGATTCTAGAACATTCCACTATGGATGAGGGGGGGGGGTGGTGGTGTCACTGTGACCCCCTCAGATCTGCTACAAGGACTGGAACAAAGTCTTCCAGCCCTGGCTTGGGTAACAGTTGCCATCTTCCACAAGAAACATTGTCTCCCCCTGACCGCCCCCCCCCCTCCCCCGCCCTGCCCTGAGCCTCCCCGGGCGCTGCCCCAGTGCTCCGGCCCGTCCCGTCCCTCCGGGCCTCTCCCCCGCGGGTCACCGCCTGCTCCCGCTGCCCTGTCCTCATTGTGTGCCCGGGCACACTGAGTGTCCCTTTCAAGGCTGGGGCCCAGGGCACCAGGGCAGGGCCAAAGCGGCCGCGGGGACAGAGGAGGACAAAGGAGCCAGAGGAGAGGCGGCCAGGTGGCCAGGGACCTGGGGTGGCCGCCTCAGGGCGGTCAGAACCAAGTTAGGGTGCACGCGCCCCCCCTCCCCTCCACGGCACACAGGGCCGGCGCAACCCCACGGGCAGATGGGGAAACTGAGGCTCAGAGCTGGGGGAGGGAACGGGGCCGGGTTAGCACGCTGACCTTCCCCACGGCCACCAGCCTAGACCTGGCCACCGTCTCAAGCTGGATGTGGGGGGGAGCGCCTGTCCTGAACTCAGTTCCCACAGGACCCCATGAGGGAGGCACTTGTCCCTGCAGAGTGCGGAGGGGAAACTGAGGCTTGGAGGAGGCAGCGTGCCTGGCCAAGGTCACCTGGCTCACTCCCTAGAAGCAAGGCACAGGTCGGTCCCCCCCTTCCCCCCCGCTGGACCTCAATGGGGTGTCCTCACCACACTCGAGTCCAGCTGCGGTGCACACCGAACCCAAAAAGTTCCCCCAGAGCTCGTCCAGGGACACAGGGCAGGATGAATGAGCACCGGGGACTCGAACCCTGCACCGGCTGTGGAGTGCAGGGCCTCTCCCAGGCCCCCCAGCTGCCTGCGGCCCAGCCCAGCCCCTACCCTGGGCCGTGGAGATGCTGCCACCAGGCCCCACGAAGGGCGGGGGGGGGGGGGGGGGGGGAGGGACAAAGTCCCCAAGGGGCTGGGAATGGGAGCTAAACATTCACCACACCAGCACTTGGCTTGGATCCTGCTGCCAGGCTGGCACCCCAGCCCCAGGCCCGTTGCTAGGGAACCTCATAGCCAGATTTTGGGGTGGGAGGGCATAACCTCCCATGGCTGTCACCATGGTAACCAGGTAGCAGAGAAGGGGCTCCAGCATCAGATTCCAGGGGGGAGAGTTGAGCAGACCCTGCTGATGACCTCAGAGGGGAGGGCAGACTCCGCCATCATCCTCCCTATTCAGGGAGTTCCAGGATCATCAGCCCCATTTTGCAGACCCACAGACATGGAAACTGGGGCTCAGAGAGGTGCATTCACTGGCCTGAGGTCACACAGCTCAGGAGAAACAGCAAGTGGACTAGAACTCAAGTATATCAAAGTAGTTTACAGTCATCAGAGGAAAGAACCTCCTGGAAAGGTCCTTGGCCGGGAAAGGCCCCTACAGGCTTATCTAGAGAAACTGAGGCCAGCTCCACCAAACTCCTGCCATAGTTATGACAACACTGGTTGGGCAGGCTCGGCCTTCTCAGTCCTCCCCACAGCTCCACCACCAGCCAGGTACCAGGCTGCACCCACAGGGCCTTGGGTAATGCCCAGGAACCTGTCATCATCACCCCATTTTCTAGGGCAGGAAACTGAGGCACAGAGAGGGGAGAACGAAGCTCACACAGGACAGGCCCTGGAGCCCAGGGCCTCAGGCCAGGCACCGCCCAGTCCAGACCAGGGAAGGGAGAAGGTGGGCCTTGAGAAAGGCCAGCAGCAGGTAATGGGGGCTTGCTCTCTCTCTCTCTCTCTCTGCCAGAGAGGGTCCTGGAAGATGGGGCGGGGACTGGGCTGAAGGGGGGGGGGGGGTTGGTGAGGAAAAGAGGCAGCTGAAGAGCATTCTGGGACTTTGGGGGTATCAAAGTGACCAGACCCCTGGGGGATGGTGGGAGGGGTGGGTCTCTCTGGGCTGCCCTGTAGGAGTCTGGGGAGGGGGGTGTCTAGCTGAGTGAGCCCCCCTCCCCCTGGCTGAGAGCCAGGGTTGGTCCAGGAGATTTCTGGAAGCCAGATCTGCAAGGAGTCCTTTGAAGGCCAGACCCGACCCCCCCCCCCCCCAAGCAAGGGAAAAAGGAAGCCCGGGGGGCCCAGGAGACATAGATGGGCCTGGAAATTGAGGGGCAGGGGCTTGAGGCCCAGGTCAGACAGAACCCTAAGTTGGATCCAGGAAGGGTAGGGGGGGGTCAAAGGCTGGGGAGCTTGGGGAGGGGCCCGAGTAGTAGACACAGGGAGGCCCAGGCCTGGACTCACACTGGCTCAAGGGCCTAGATACTCCGGCCTGGATGGGGGGGGGGCTGGAGTCGGAGGCCAAGGCTCCCTGCCAGAGGAAGAGCGGCAGGAGGTCTGGGTGGCATCGGTGGGAGACCAGGGGGGGGGGGCCCGAGGATCCAAGGACAGGACGGGGCTTGGCAGAGGACCAGGCCTGGGAGTGGAGAGAGACCTTGAAGAAGCCAGGCAGAGGGCCCAGGGCCCCGGGCAAGGTGTCCCCCCACACCCCAGCCCGCAGCTTCCCGGGGGGCACCGGCTTCCTGTCGGGGTGGGGTGGGGGTGGGGGGCTGCAGGGGCAGCCACATACATCCCAGAGGTGGGGGGGGGGGACCCCGGATCCAGAGGCCGGGCCGGGCCGGGGCCTGGCTGGGAGAGGCCCAGGGCTGCGCCTGGGCGGCGGGGGAGACGCCGGGGGCCCCCCCAGACCCGGCCCCGGGGCGCGTGGAGGCTGCGGGGCGGCCCGGAGGGGCGGCAGCAGCGCTGCTGGCTCTAAGACCCGGGGAGGGAGGGAGGGGCCGCCGGGGCCGGGGCTTCCTGGAGGAAGAGACCCGGGCAGGCGGAAGCGATGGACCGAGGCACGAGAGAGGGGTCCCGGGCGGGGGGCGCCCCCCGAGGTGTGGGGGGGTCGGGCGGGGGGTCGGGGGGGACCCCGAGGCCTGGACACCCCGTGGGGGGGGCTCGGGGCGGAGGAGCGGGGCGGGGGGGGCCCGCGGCGGGGGGCTCGGCGTGCGCCCCGCCAGGGCTCCCCGGGGAGGGGGGGAGGGGGGCGCCCCCAACTCACCGCGTCCGAGTTGCGATCGTTGCCCGGGGCCAGCGCCGTCCGCGAAGACATCTTCTCCGGGTGTGCCGGGAGGGGGGGGGTGTCGGGGGGCGGCCGGGTGGGGGGGGCGGGGGTCTGGGGGGGTCCCCGCTCGTCCCCTCCCCCCCCCGCCGGCCTGGGGGCGCGAGCTGGGCGGCTGGGGCGCCGCGGGGCTGCGGGGGGGCCTCAGCGACCCCGCACCGGCGCGCGCCGGGGGTCCATGGGCGTGCGTGCGGCCGCGCGGGCGGGGGCCGGGCGGGGGGCGCGCGCGGAGCCGGCCGGGGCGGCGGCGGCGGCGGCGGAGGGCGGCGGCGGCGGGGCCCGCGAGAAAGGGACGTCAGGGGCGGGGCCGGGGGCGGGGCCGCGCGGGGCCACGCCCCCGGCGCCGCCACGCCCCCGGCGCCGGCTCTTAAAGGCGCAGGCTCTCCCCGCTCTCTCCTCTCCGCACGCCTGTCCCCGGGCTGGGAGGTGGGGCTAGGGGGGTCCGGGGGCGGAGGCAGGTCGGGACGCGCCGGCGCCCGGCAAGTTCTCACAGGAGCGCGGAGACTCCACGGGGAAGGACGGGGGCCGGGGGAGGGCCGCGGGGGGGGGGGTGTGGAAGGAGGGAGGGAGGGAGGGAGGGGAGAGGCCCAGGCCCAGCGCCAGAGACGCGGAGAAAGACGTCCGAGAGATGGAGAGATAGACCCAGAGACGCAGAGAGACACAAAGAAACCCAGAGAGGAGGAACAGAAAACACAAAACAGACAGACAGACAGACACAAAGACCTCGGGAGAGCAGAAAGGACGAAACTGACAGAAGGACATAGAGGGACAGACAGATTCTCGGACAGAGGTAAAGGCGGGGAGAACCCCCCCACACACAGGGACAGGACAGACACAAAGGGAGGGACACCGAAAACAACAACAACAATAATAATAAAAGAGAGACCCCTGGGGACAATGAGGACAAAGAGACCCCATCACCCCCCCCCACCCCCCCACCCCCCGGCCCCCACCGCCAGAGGCAGGCTCCAGGCCCAGGGCCCTGACCCCCATACTCCTCACCCCTAAAGGGATCTGGGGCCCAGGCCTCTGTTCTCACCCCACCCCCAAGTCGCTAAGGTAACAAACAACTTGGATGATGGGGTACAGGATGCAGCCACAGCAGAGGACTAACTTCTCCCACAGGGAGAAAGTTCCAGGCTCCAAAAGTTGGGGCGCAGTGGCTAGGACATCCTCCCTGGAAGTCGCCTGCGATTTCTTTCTTTCCTTCCTTCCTTCCTTCCTTCCTTCCTTTCTCCATCATGGGGCTTTAACTCAAGGCAGGGGCTCTGCCCTTCAGCTTTTTTTCCTTAGTGCTCTACCACCTAAACCACAGTTCCACTTTCAGCTTTTTTTTTTTTTTTGGTTGGTTGTGGGGCTTGAACTCTGGGCCTGGGCACTGTCCCTCAGCTCTTCAGCTCAAGGCGAGCGCTCTACCACTTGAGCCACAGCGCCATTTCCAGTTTTCTGGTGGTTTATTGGAGATAGGAGTCTCACAGTCTCTCCTGCCCGGGCTGGCTTTGAACCACGATCCTCAGATCTCAGCCTCCTGAGTAGCTAGGATTACAGGCGTGAGCCACCAGCGCCCGGCATCCACTTTCAGCTTTTTGCTGGTTGATTGATCATAAGAGTCTCACAGACTTTCCTGCCAGGGCTGGCTTTGAATTGCAATCCTCAGATCTCAGCCTCCTGAAGAGCTAGGATGACAGGCGTGAGCCACCAGCGCCTGGCTCACCTGGGATTTCTAAGCCTCTGTTTGCCCTGACTTCCCTGTTAGGGCAGAAGCAGCCACCAAGAAGCAGTGCTGGCCTGAACAGCATGACTCATCTTTGCATGGGCAATCAGACCAGAGAGGGAAAGGCTTTACAGAAGCCACAAAGCACCGTGGAAGAGGAATTGCCCTTGGAGTGAGGTGTGGTCAGTCTCAGAACTCCAAGACCCCAGATCTAAAGACCTACCCAGCCTGCCTTGAACCTCAGTTTCCCCTTTCTGAAAAATGCATATTGACAAGAGTAGTGCACTGGGAACCAGTCCTCATAGTCCCAGGAAATTTAGAACTACTTGTTAAACCGTTGCCATTATTAAAAAAAAAAATTAAATTATGCAGAAAAAATTAAATTATGCAAACATGCAATTAAGTAAATTGTATGAAAAACAAAGGTAATATGCGCTCGTCTCCAAATTATTTTGCTTCATTTCTCTATTAGGTGGGATTTCCAGTGGTTACTATATCTACCCAGTGAACGGCTGTACTTTTTGTCAGAACTGTGTGCGGGTAGGTCACGCCTGTAATCCCGGTTACTCAGGAGGCTGAGGCCTGAGGAGCACAGTTTGAAGCCAGACAGGGCAGAAAAGTTTGTGAGACTCTTATCTCCAATAAACCAGCAAAAAGAAAAACCCAGAAGTGGAGCTGTGGCTCAAGTGGTAGAGTATTGAGCAAAAAAACCTCAGGCGCCCAGGCCCTGAGTCAAGCCCCAGGACCAACACACACACACACACACACACACACACACACACACACACACGCTGTCTATGATGTCACCTTGGTGGCTTGAAATTATCCCAGGTGGATATGTTTGCATCGTACATCTTGCCAAATGCTGCCTACACAGGTTCCCACCCCTACCCCCAGAGAGAGCTACTTGTTAAAAATTTATGGGCCTGCATGGGGGCTCAAGCCTGTAATCCTAGCTACTTGGGAGGCAAAGATCAGAGGCCAGCCTGGACTTAAAAGCTCACTAGACTCCCTCTCCATCAATGGCTGGGTGTAGTGGTACATGTCTGTCATCCTGGCAACAAGGGGAAGCATGAATAGGAGAATCAAAGTCCAGGTTAGCCTGGGTATAAAAGCAAGACCCTATCCATAAAGTAACATGAACTAGGACTGGCCCAATGACTTAAGCTGAAGAGGGTCTTGCTTAACAAACATGAAGTTCTGAGTTGAAAACCCAGTACCACCATGATAAACAACATCCACACATAACCCTGGCACATACCATCCATGGATGTTTCTATATAACAGGGTTAGCCTTTGATCTGTGCGGTGAAAAGAAATCAGGCATTATTGCCACCCTGAGTAGTGGGCCTGAGATTTGAACCCACTGCCCTCCAATTTGAGTTCTTTTTGTTATTTGTTTGTCAGTCATGGGGCTTGAACTCTGGGCCTGAGTGCTGTCCCTCAGCTCTTCAGCTCAAGGCGAGCGCTCTACCACTGGAGCCACAGCGCCACTTCCGGTTTTCTGCTGGTTCATTGGAGATCAGAGTCTCCTGGACTTTCCTGCCCGGGTGGGCTTTGAACTACGATCCTTAGAAGATGTCAGCCTTCTGAGTAGCTAGGATTACAGGCATGAGCCACTAGCGCCCAGCTCAACTTGAGTTCTTAACACGTAACACGTTTTTCTCGTGTGTGTGTGTGTGTGTGTGTGTGTGTGTGTGTGTGTGTGTTCAGGAGGGCCTGGGTGCTGTCCCTAAGCTTTTCTGCTCAAGGCTGGCGTTCTACAACTTGAGCCACAGCTCCACTTCCAGCCTGAAGGTGGTAAACAGGAGATTAAAGTCTCAAGGACTTTTCTCTCCCTGGCTGGCTTCAAAATGCAATCCTCAGATCTCAGCCTCCCACATAGCTGGGATTACAGGCTTGAGCCACCTGCACTCGATTGTTTTCCTGCTTTTGAATAATAACTAACATACTAGAGGGCAAATCACCCAGAATAGGTAAACCCAGCCCTTCTCAGGGGCAGCCTTAGAACCTCTCTTGATGGTTTAGCGGGTGAAGCCTGAGGATATGAAGGCTAGAAAAGGAGAGGAGGGAGTTCAGGATGGGAATCTAGGAGCTTTGTGATACAAAGGCTCTGCAGGGCTCGTGGGGGCTCATGGGAGTGGGATGGAAGCCAAGCCTCCCCCCCCCCAACAACCCCCCCAACACTCCCCGGTCCTAGCGCCTGCAGATGCAGTTCTCCATCTCACCACAAGGGGGCAGCACACCATCTCCATACACATTGGAAGCCTTGCCTGGCTCTGTATTTCTCAACACTTGTCCCCACCCCCATTTCCCAGATCTGGGAGACTGAGGCTCACAGAGGAGGAGACTCACAACGTCGGGGAAAACTTGCTTTTTTCTGTTTGTCCGTTTGTCTGTGACAGTACAAGGGCCTGGAGCTCTCACTTGGCTTTTTCATTCCCAAGGCTGGTGTTCTACCATTTGAGCCACAGCTCTACTTCCGGTTTTTTGGTGGTTCATTGGAACTAAGAAAGTCTAGTCTCATAGACTTTCCTGCCCAGACTGGCATCGAACCACCATCCTCAGATCTCAGCCTTCTGAGTAGCTAGGATGACAGGTGTGAGCCACTAGTACCCGGCTAAAGATTGACTTCTCTAGGCCAGGGATTTGTGGGGCAATGCAAATGTTCTAGAATCCGATCTCTGGTGTTGTTTGCTGCATCCTTGGGAATATAGCCAAACCCTCTGAACCACAGGTTTTCAAAAGGTGCACTTCATGCTATGTAGATAATATCTCAATAAAACAAAATGAAATTAGCCACAGATGGCTGTTCACACTTGCCAGCCTAAGCACTCAAGGGGGGAGCTGAGGTAGGAAGATCATGGTTCAAAGCCAGCCCAGGCAGAAAAGTCTGTTGCCATATTCTCTCTGGTTTAACTTAGCAAAATGCTGGACTGGAGGCGTGGTTCAAGTGGTAGAGCACCAGCATTACCAAATCTAGCCAAGAACAAGAGACCCTGAGTGCAAGTTCCAGTACCGGTTAAATAAAGAAAGGGGAGTTGCTCACAGTGGTCATAGCCCATGACAGATGCCCGGTGGCATGGCTCTGGCTGCAGATGCTGACCTAGGGGCCAGGCTGGCTCCTTCCCCTTCCTGTGTGACCCAGCAGACTTGAACCCAGAGGTGTCACAGTCCAGTTTTCAAAGTGCTCCAAGCCCAGAGATGAGGCTCGGTGTGGAAGCTCGGGCCTAGTGAGTTCAAGACCCTGGGTTCCATCCCCAGCCCTGAGATAAACAAAAACGCCACTAAGTCTGCGGTGGAGACAGATGATCTGATCTTTT